CCCCCGCCCGCCGCGGCTGTAACCCTCCTCCTCCTCGTTCCCTCCTCCTCCTCCCCGCGCTGCCCCTGCCCCCTCTCCTCTCCTCTCTCCTCTCCTCCCCTTTCCCTCCGCGCCGCTCGCTCCTCTCGCACCGTCAGTCACTCACACACGCCCGCCCGCCGCCCGCGCCCGCACACAGGGGGATGCGCTCCCGGCGGACTGGGCCCGCCCGGCCCGAGCCCGGCGGGCGCTCGGCGCTAGAGGCTGGACGGCTGGACGCTGGCTGGCGGGGAGGGAAGGGAAGGCGGAGGGCAGGGCGGCTCTCGGCCTCCGCGGGCACTCGGTCGCACACTCGGGGCCGGGAGCCGGCGCTGGCGGCCCCGGGCTGGCTGTGGGCGGCAGTGGCGGCGGCGGAGGCAGCAAGGGTTGCTCTCTCTCGGCTTTACGTACCGGTCATAGTGTGTTTAGGACACCTCAGGCGGGGCTCCCCGCCGCCTTACACATGGTGAGAAGCGAAGGCGGCGGCGGCGGGAGAGGATGCGGGAAGCGGCGGCGGACACGGCCGGAGCGGTCCGGGGATTTTTTTTTTTCCTATTTTGATTGACTGTGCGGGAAACACAAAAGGTGGAGCCTCCAGCCCAAAAGGGGGGAAGAGGGTGACAGCCCGCCCGGAAGTTCCGCCCCTCTTCCCGGCGCTCATTTGCCAGCACGCTCGCCGTCGGCTGCGCTCATTGGTCCGGACGCCCGTCCGTCACTCGGCCAGGCGGCGGGCTTCCTGTTTGCCCCGGGGTGGAAGGGGAGAGACAATGAGCGGCCGTGGCGCTGTAGGTTCCCGAGAACGGCCCCGGCTCGCGCGTTACCCCGCTGTGCCCGCCTCGTTCTTCGGCTGCCGCTGCCAGGCCCGAGGCGCAAGCCTCTTCCACTCGTTGACCCTTCCAACGGGCCTCGCCAAGCTGTCAGGGAGCTGAGCTGGGGAGGAAGTCCGTCCCCGGGGGCTCCGGCTCCACTCGACGTTTCCTCCATTCTGGCAGCCGCCTGGGCTGGATCTCCCCAGGGCCAGGGCTCTCGGAGCTGCCTCTTGCCAGAGCTGCCAGGAGGCCACCGCCGCTCAGCCCTAGGGCTGCTGCTGCGGTCGCTGCTGCTACTGAGCAAACCGGACCCGCCCCATGAGCCCTGGGGGAGGGAGCTGGTATTGGGGGAGACACCCCCTCCGAGGCTGGAGGAGGACTTTTTCCACACGCTTTCAGCTCTCGGATGCATAGTCGGATCCGTCGCTTTCCCATCCCCCTCCCCTTAGCCCCTCGTTTCCAACCACCTACTTTTATGGATCCTGGAGGCAGGTACTTACTGTAAAAAAAGATATGTCGATATCTCCAGTCCCTTCATAAAGGGAAAGAAGTTTTAATTCTGGCCAGTGATATCAAAACAGGCTTAGCTACATTTTATTTAATGAGGCACAATAACCTTTCAAAATTAGATTGCAGCACACACTCCCTGCTTCTTAATCCTAAGAAAGCAAGTCAACTGCTAACATTTGTTAAAATAGTAAATCTCACTGAAGTGCCCTTCCCCTTGGGAGCGTTTAGGTACCCTTTTTACTTAGTGATTTAGGTTAGCACTCCTTCCTTTGACATCCTTAATACCTTGCTGTCATTCAGGAGAAAAATGCTCAGGTTCTCTGTTCTGCCAACAAGAGAACAAGACAGAACGCTGCTTATTAGCTTTAGATACATTTGCTTAAAAGAAAGGTTAAATTTAAGAGTAGGGAATACTATCCACAATACTTTTATTGGAAATCTGTCTCAAGAATAAACGTTCCAATCACTGTAGTTATTATATATTACACTTTGTATAATAAGGTTGTAAAGTTGAAGCATTTAAACTAGCACTTATGTGCACTTACTTAAAAGAATTTCATTTAAAAAGAAAAGAGCATGCATCTCAGTTGCAGAAGCCTTACATTTGGTATCTGTATCCATAGGTTGGAAACCTGTGCTTTTTGTGCAAGAAATTACCAGAGAATTGTTCTGGTAATGCACAAATATCCAAAGAAGAAATTTAAGATTCTAAGTCCAAGGACAGGGTTCCTTTCTTTTAACGGTAGCTTCTGGAGGTCCTATAGTTCACAAGAAGAACTGCTTTTAAAATTAAATAGCATAAACATGCGCTATTTACATTTCTTTTTTTAAGGAAAATTAGGATGTGCTGATTGGAGGGATAGAAAAAGAGGGAGGGACTAGTGAACGAAAGAGCAAGACAGAGATGAAGCCCAAGCTTATGGATGGTTCAGAGTCGCCTCTTTGTCCCTGGATATCTCGTTCCCTAAAATGAATGTTTGGAACATTTTCTGATTTCGGGGAGAGGGGGGTTGTTTGCAATTTTTTTTTTTCAAGACAGGGTTTTGTTGTGTAGCCTCGTTTATCCTGGAACTTGCTCTGTGGATGAGGCTGGCCTCAAACTCAAGAGAATCCACAAGGCTATGCCTCTTGAGTGCTGGAATTAAAGGCATGTGCCACCTCCACCTGGCTTTTTCTGGTTTGGTTTGGTTTGGTTTGACAATGACACCTGTTCTCTTTCAATTGTGGCATTCAAGAACAATATATTGGGGTCAAAAGAAGATAACTCAAACTAGCTATTTTGATGCAAAGCTCTTAAAAAAATGCATATTAGCAAAAGTATCACTCACTACTAAGGTGAGATTCAGTAGACTTCTCCAACCACACTTGAAAGAGTTACTATTACAGACTATCTTAAGATGACAGAAAACAAAATGATCTCTTGAAAGAATTCTTTTTTTAACTAGTGTAGACACACTCAAACCATATACAAAGCATAAGGCCTATATTTAGGTAATACACACATGAGGTTACTAGTATAATTCACAGTGGATTAATGTTTTGGTGTAGTCATTAGAAGAAATTTAAAATGTATCAAATATCATCATGAATAAATTTCAAAACAACAGTCAGATCTGTTTTCCCCTGTCCTCATGGCTTGGCCCAGTTTCTTGTCATGTTTTCTCTCAAGATTTTCACAAGCTATTCCTGGCCAAGAAACAAAACCAGATCACCCTATTCCCCAGTAGACTAGGACAAAAATTGGTAATAACATCAGCTACAACTCCAAGAAATCAATCTGGGCTGTAAGGTAGCTCACTGAACAACAGGAATATTTATATGGAATTATGGTCAACAATTAGCCTTACCGTATCAAGCTGAAAATGTCGGTGCTATCTGGACAGTTGGGAATGTTCAACTGGGATCTGAATTTTTTTTTTTTTTCATCTATACCAGTTAGTTGGTTCCAAATATGTAGAGCTTTGGACTGCTTTTTAAAAATACTGAGTGAACACAGCACTCAGGAGGCAGAAGCAGGCAGATCTCTGTGAGTTCCAGGCCAGCCTAGCCTACAAAGCCAGGGCTATACAGAGAGAAACCCTGTCTTGAAAACAAAATATACTGAGTGAAAAAACTAATTACAGAAGGATACGTTTTAAAACATACCAAGTTGTGACTATATAGGGGTATACACAGTAACTGTAAGGATTAGTTTTAATTGTCAGTTATCTAGATGAGATCGGCTTGTGTCTAGGAGGGACTGTCTTTGTTAAGGTGATTGATGTGGGAAGACATAGCCCATTGTGTGTGGCACCATTGCCATATTTGAGCCTTGGACTATATGAGGGAAGAAAATAGGCTGAGTTGCAAACATGCAAGCTTTCATTTCTCTTGTGTGTAGATGCCATGTGCCCAGCTAAAGTTCCTGCTTCCTTGACTTCCCTGCTAGAACGGACCATAACACTAGAATTCTAAACTGAAACATTTCTCCCTGAGTTACTTTTTGTCAGGGTATTGATCCACAACAACAGAGATGATACTACTACAGTAATTCATGATAACCTTCAAGGGGGTGGTAGATAGTAAGTTTTAAATGGTTAAAGGGGAAAAATGAGGACCAGCCGAGTGGCTTAGCAAATCCGGAGAGCTCATGGCCAAGCCTGACAACATAAGTTTAGTCACAGGAACCCACATGATGGAAGGACCCTCTCCCACAAAACACCATAAATAATAAATGTAAAAGGAAAATGTGACTTAAATGGGTTTCCTAGGTACTGTGCTTACATGTGCAAGTTTTACTTAAGTTAGGCTGAGGGCATCACCGTTCTTTATACTGTGTTGTCTGAAATACCATAATCATCTTTTAAACGACAACAACCCAAAAACCTTTCAGACAGATGAGTACCTGTAGAGGCGGTGAAACAAGCATGTCCTGACTGACCAGGAAGAGTCACTGACTCTCTGTGACTAAGTACCCCAGCCTTACTCACTGGAAAATTGGACTGAAATAAAGACCATAAAGACTGAGAGCAACTGGGAGATAGTTCAGATATGTGGGCTGTGATGCCAAAGGACACACATAGCCAATGGCAGGATTTGGATGCATAACTAAAGGGAGAAAGGAACCAGTGTACAGATTCAGGAGCCTTTGCCATGTTCACAGACCTCTGTCCATTTGTCCTAGACATGAACAAGTTTTTTGACTTTAAGAAAAGTTCTCCACATAGGCCAGGTTTGGTAGTATATTATAATCCCAAAATTTGGCAGGTTGAGGCAGGAGAATCTCAAACACAAAGCATGCTGGGCTACACAGCGAAACTCAAAGTGAGAAGTAAGGAGGGAGATGGTTGTTTACCTCAGTGGCCAAATGCTAGTGTTTATTTAGTATTGTCAGAGAGCCTGTATTCAGCCCACTGCATAAGCCAATGTGTAAACTTGCCTGGGATGGTGGTTCTGTTTTGTTTTTTTTTTTTTTTTTTTTTTTTCCTTCTGCAAGATCTCAAGAACTTGCCTTCCTGCCACCAGTTTCAACATTCACCACTGAAACACTTCCTCCTGAGAAAGCTCTCCTTAAACTTCATCTGCTTTCTAGTTTTCTCTCAAATGTGTATGTCTCCATTTTAGCTACACTGTACATTTTTTTTTTAATGTAGGGCAGTAAAAATGCTTTTTGCCTGTTCGTTACAGCAGCCACTAATCACACGCAACCATTAGTACTGGATATATGGCCAGTGTGGCTGGGCGAATGAGTTTTTCTATTTTAATGAATGTAAACCTAAATGGCTACATGTGGCCAAGGGCTAACCTACTGGACAATACTGCTTCCAGTGTCTGCCTTGTTCCAGCCCCTACATAAGAATACCACTCCAGACTCTGCTCTTGGGTCCTTGGGCTTTCCTGAGGAGGCTCACCCTTCCTGTAACCTCAGCCATCAGTTCTAAACTCAGGCCCACATCTTAACTGTAGCTGCCTGCTGTCACCTGGATTGCTGTTCCATGTCCTTAGGCACCATAAATTCCCCTTGAATGTTTCACTTAGCCTCAAACTACAAACGTTCAAAATTGAACTCTACAAATACAGCTCTGCCTTCCCTTTGGACATTTTGTCTCAAGAATGATGCCATCATTTTGTCAGAAGTCCATGCAGGAGTCAGATTTGACACACCTTTTCCATCAGCAAAAAGCCATGTGGTACTGGCAGGTTTTCCTGCATGATCTCTCTTAATGACTGTTTGTTAAAACCACAAAATTTATTGACTCCTGTTCTGTAGGACACTACAGGGCTCTTACCCTCAGGAAATGTAATCCACATAGGACACAAAGTGTAAACATACACAAATCACAGAAATGAGAACTTCAGTCTA